AAGAAGGGGGAGGGAAGATGGGATTAGTAGGGGAGGGATACAAAGTGAATAAAGTGTAACTAATAAAAGTTAAAAAATATAAAAGAAGATGTTAGTCATATAATATAGGATAAATATAATAGAATCTGCACAAGTAAAGAAGCTAATCAAGAAGGAGAACCCTGGGTAAGATGATCAATCTTCACTCAGAAAGCCAAAAGGGACAGACATCAGAAGAGGGAGAAAACAGGAAGTAGGACAGTAGCCTACCACAAAGGGCCTCTGAGAGAATCTACCCAGTAGTGCATTAAAGCAGATGCTGAGACTCATAACCAAACTTTGGGGCCGGTGCAGGGAATCTTATGAAAAGAGGGGGAGATAGTAAGACCTGAAGAGGAAAGGAGCCCTACAAGGAGAGCAACAGAACCAAAATATCTGGACATAGGGGTCTTTTCTGAGACTGATACTCCAACAAAGGACCATTCATGGAGATAACCTAGAACCCCTGCATAGATGTAGCCCATGGCAGCTCGGTATCCAGGAGGTTTCCCTAGTAAGGGGAACAGTGACTGTCTCTGACAAGAGCTCAGTGGCTGGCTCTTTGATCTCTCCCCCTAAGGTGGGGGGGGGCAGCCTTGCCAGGCCACAGAGGAGGACAATGCAGTTAGTCCTGATCAGACCTGATAAGGTAGGTTCAGATGGAAGGGGAGAAGGACCTTCACTCTCACTGGATTTGGAGAGGGTCATGGGAGGAAATGAGGGAGGGAGGGTGGGATTGAGAGGGAATGAGGAAAGGGGCTACAGTGGGTATATAGATTGAATAAACTGTAATTAACATAAAAATAAAAAAACAAGAGGAAAGAGAAACTATGACCTTCATGAACATAAATATACAGTCATCAAATTATTTAAGTATTTAAGAGGTGAAGAAACACCCCTTGATGCCCTAAGTTCATTAACATCATTAAAAGAAGAGAGTGTATAAATGTTATCAGGGTCTCCTACACACTCCATTTAGAACTGTCTATTTACTGTGTCCCACTATCTTAAATATGTTTCAGTGCTATGACCGAACATCACTATCAAAAGAAACTTGCAGAGGAACGGCTTTGTTTCATTTATACATCCCAATTATAGTTCTTCACTGACTGAAGAAAGTCAGGACAGAAGCTCAAGGCAGAGACCATGTAGGAACCTTTCTTATTGCTCTGCTTCCCACACCTTTCCTAGCATGTTTCCTTATACAGCCTTGATTAGCTACCCAGGGGTGGCACTCACCTCAGTGAGCTGGGCCTTCCCACATCAACTATCAATCAAGAGAACTGACCCACTCTCTTACCTACAGGCCAAGCTTATAGAAGCATTTTTTTAATTGAGATTCTTTATTCCTAGATAGAGGTAACAACAACAATAAAAAATCAGATAATTAAATAAAAACTAGACAGCATACTTGCCAAGTTATTTCTCTAATTTGAAGGCAAAATATATAATGAACAAGATAACTTGTGAGTATATATAATCAATACATCTATATATACTTAATTAAACAAATAGTGGCTGGACATCAAGGATCAACAGGAAATCCAAAAACAAATGCTGGAGTCGTAGGGGAAAGAGAACTCTCATTTCGGTTGGTGGTATTGCAAACTAGTGCAAAAATATGGAAACCAATTTGGAGAATTCTCAAAAAGCTAAATATTGAAGGTTGGGCTGATGCGTGCTACTGGTCACAAGATCTTGTCCCTGTTCAGAAGAGCACATTCGCAAGTAAACCTATCCTTGTTGTGTAAATCTGTCTAAGTCATTATAGCTGATTGGTTGATTAAATGGCCTGTGCCTGGGCAGGACAGAATGAGATAGGCATGGCAAAGGTTCTTGGGCTTCAGGGCTTCAGGAGACTAATGGGAGACAGATGGACAGGAAAAGAGGAGGAAGGAGGGTGCCTTGATGGGTTAGCATGGAGAAGGAACCATGTGGGATTGGAGGAAGGACTGAAACAACGGTGTGAAAAGGGCCTGATAAAGAAGATAAGCAAGTACCATGGGATTATGAACGGAAGGTAGACCAGATGAGGATGATAAAAGCAGATGGCATTGGATGGGGGCTGGAAGATGGATGGTGAGGTTATTGAGACAGTGTAAGTGAAATATCGGCCTGGCCCAAGGTAAATTAGGCAATTATAAATCTAACAGGTGTCTGTGTCTTATTATTTGTGAGGGTGGCTTAAATAATACTGCTGTGATAATCTTAGTGCTAATATTAAACACTATATAGCTCAACAGCCATTTTTAATTATGACAATAGCTAAAAATAAATTTATCTTAAGACATACATCCAATCAAAATGCCAAGTTGTAGAACCTAGTCCAAAGAATTAGGATTTGTGTGTGTGTGTGTGTGATATATATATATATATATTATTCATGCAGTAACATTTAGTGAATAAAAGAGGCCATGAATTTGATGGACAGTGGAAAGGGTTATATTAGAGGGTTTGAAGGAAAGGAAGGGAAATGGAAGGAAAAGGAAAGGAAAGGAAATGGAAGGGAAAAGGGGAAGGGAAGGGAAGGGAAGAGAAAGGGGAAAGGGAAGGGAAGGGAAAGGGGAAAGGGAAGGGAAAGGAAGGGAAGAAAAGGGAAGGGAAAGGAGAAAGGGAAGGGAAAGGGGGAAGGGAAGAGAAGGGAAAGGAAGGGAAGAAAAGGGAAGGGAAAGGGTAAAGGGGAAAAGGGGGAAGAGGAAAAGGTAAAGGGGGAAGAAGGGGGAGGGGGAGAAGGGGAAGAAGGGGGAAAGGGGGAAGAAGGGGGAATGAGGAAGGGAGAAGGGGAAGGGAAGAGAAGGGAAGAGGGAAAAAGGGAAAAGGGAAAAGAGAAAAAAGGGAAAAGGTAAAAAAAGGGGAAAAGGAGAAAAGGGAAGGGAAAAGTGATGGGAAGGGAAGAGAAAAGGGAAGGGAAAGGAAAAGGGAAGGGAGGGAAGGGAAGGGGAGGGAAGGGAAGGGAAGGAAGAAAGGTAATAAAATTATAATATTAAAAAATAAAAACAGATGAGTACTGGCTGTTAGACTTAGTGAAAAATTAAATGGAGTTGGAAAGAATATATGATCTGTGGGGCTAGAGTGATGGATCAATAGTTGGGAGCACTTGGTGCTCCTGCAGAGGACCTGGTGGGAAGCATCCCACATAGTGGCTCATGTTCATTTGTACCTCCAGTTCCAAGATATTGACAGCCTCTTCTGGTCTCCCTAGGCACCAGGCATGCATATGGTGTACATATGTACATTCCAGCAAAACCTCATGCACACACATTTAAAAATGTGAAGCAACAAATACTAAGATATTGAAGTGTAAGTGCATGTGGACTTTGTAAATTAAAAAAAAAAAAAAACAAAAAACTCTAAAACTAAAAAGCCAAAAAGATGAATAGGTAGGTAGAAATAAGAAATTGGGCCTAGAGTTTCAACGGATTCAGGAAACGATTTGCTAAAGACGTGAGGTTTATTTTTAAACTATATTTGTTTTTTAATTTCCATGTTTAGGGACACATTCTTGCAGAGACACAAACAAACACCTGTTTGTACCAAACAGAGAAATGATAACAGACTAATGTAACAATGCCACAAAAGTTTAATTTGGTTGACGAGTTAGTTGGGTTACTTAGAGGAGTGTGGATGAGGAATGACTTGGGAGTACGAACAACTCAAAGGCAGAGGTGTAACTGGAGTCCCACATCAGTATAGGTGAGAACTCACAAAACCTTGGAACTTTTTGCGAGGTTTTGCAGGCAGCTTGATGGGCCACGGGTTAGTTTCTCCGCAGAAGTCCTCACTGATGGTATGACCTTGGGCAGGGGAAAGTCTGGTACAGCTGTATGTTTTTTTTTTTTTTCTTTTCTTCTTACTATCATTATCATTATTATTTTACAGTTTATTCACTTTGTATCTGGTTGTAGCCCCCCCCCCGCCTCATCTCCTTCCAGTTGCACCCCCAGTCCTTCTTTCTCCCCATCCTTCTCCCCTAGTCCACTGACAGGGGAAGACTTCCTTCCCTACCGTCTGACCCTAGTCTATCAGGTCCTATCAGGGCTGCCTGGATCTTCTTCCTCTGTGGGCTGGCTAGATCACATGACCAGAAAGAAGTGATCAAGGCAACCAAGTTCACATCAGAGACTGTCTCTTCTCTCCTTGCTAGAGAAGCCACATGGAGACTGAGCTGTCTTTGAGCAGGGGGCCTACATCCTCTCTATGCATGGTTCTTTGGTTGATGCATCAGTCTGTGCAGTGACCACTGGGCTGCTTCCTGATACTTGGGAGTTGCTTTATTCTTGCGTTTAATGAGCCTCAATTTAGAATGCCCTGAATCTTATGGAACAGAGTTCCATCCAGGATAGCATTTCAATTTGAAAGAAATCATTCAAAAAAAAAAAAAAAAACCCAAAACATACAAACAAAAACCAAAACAACAAAAACATGAAGGAGATATAGAATCAATTTTTACAAAATCAGTGACTGATACAATGTTCTTGTATGAAAACAGAACAAATAATAAAATACAATCCAGTCAGCCACCAAGCAATTATTCTTCATATACCTTACCGATACAAAGGGAGAAAAAAAAATACATACCAAGAAACCTTATTAACATAAGAAGAACCATATTTACTTGACAAAATTAGGCTTTTTTTTTTTTTTTTTAAACAGTGGTGATACTTTAAGCAGATGAGCTGGAACATCTAGGGAGAGAACTTTAAAATACTGATTGATTAAAAAAATAGAATTTAAAAACTAACACATGAAAAATTATATCCTGATGCTTCAGGAAAAAAAAAAAACTCTTATGGTGAATCCGGGTTTAATTCCTAGCACTCAAATGGCATCTCTCAAAAGTGTATAATTTCAGTTCCAGGGGATCCTTTATTCTCTTCTTGCCTCTGCAGGCACTAGACATACACACTACACAGGTACATACATGAAGGCAAAACACCAATACACATTGTTTTTAAAATACGAATTTAAAAGGTTGTATCTTCCTTGCTCCTGGAGGCATTGCAACTGTGGCTGCCCTGTCAGGTGTGTGAGTAAGTCGGAGAGAGGAGAGAGACTATGTCCATGATGAGTGCTCTGACCTATGAACATCTGAATGATCAGTAGCCTAACACTCCTTGGAAAAAGCCAGCGTGCGATGACCACCAGTTCAGTACCATTTGGGCCTGAGGGGGCTGATCATAGTGGAGATGACCTCTGCCCAGTACCATAATGCATGGGTGGGGCACAGCACTCTTGACACCACTCCTAAGATCACCTTAGACACCAAGAGAACTCAGGAGCTACTAAGAGGAGCAAATAAGTGTCAGAGAAATGGCAGAGAAAGAGAAACAGAAGTGTGTGGCACAATGAAGAGCAGCAGAACTGTAGGCTTTGGGGGCAGTGGAGAACAGCCTGATGTGAGTAGCTGGTGATGCCCCTTGAGGCCATGGTGGGCTCCTGGCCTGAGCTGTCACCAGGTGCTATGTCTGGATGTATGGCCCTGCCACAGCGGGGGTCTGTTGCCACCAAAATGTAGGCAGATGTCCCCGGTCTGCTCTGCCACCTGGGGACATGTTAACATTTGAGGGCTGTGCAGAACTGGTTCCACCCCTTGCCTTGGCATTGAAGGAAAGATAGCGCTATGCCCTATGGGCATAGAGCAAGAGAGTGGCTGCACTTTGCAGGAATTGGGGGTGAGTTTTCCAAAGGTATAAGTGAGAAAGAGCTAGCCTTGCCACTCATCTCCTGTGTTGTGGCATGGGTGAGGGAGAAATGTTTCCTTCTTGTCCCTTGCCACCTACGGAAGGCAGGAGAACTGACTCTGAGGACATCAAAATGGGAGAGCTGGCCCTGCCCCTCACCTACTGTAGCACTTGGGAGAGTGAATCCTGCACCTGGGTTGGGCAGCATAGTAGAGCTGGCCCCCAAGCAGGGGTTGCCCTTCCTCTTGTCTGCTATGCACATGTATCAACTAGGGAGAGGTGCCCTCTCTTCCCTTTCATCCTTGCCACCTTGTCATATGAAGTAGTCTTACCCCTCACCTACTGTAACATTCTTGAGAGTGGGCTAGGCATCTTGCCCGAGCAGCAGGGAAGAGCTGGCCCTAGTTGTCAGGGTTACCCATGAGCTGGCCCTGAGGACATGAGAGAGCTGGCTGTAGAGCTGGTGGGCTGACCAGCTCAGTTATCTCTCTGGCTCAGATACAGGGTCACCCCAACATCTACGGCATTGATGAACTACTGAAGTGCATGATCTGTAAATCTAAAATTACAGGATCTCTTTGATACAGGACAACAGGATATCTCAGATGAATCTCAATGAGGTTCCAGTATTGACAGAGTAGCAGAAGCCAGATGCCTTGTACAAGACCAATGAGTCATTGCAATGAACATTTGCATGGAAAGAAGTATAAACAAACGAGTATACTGTGGAACACACTGTGACACAATACAGCTTCCTAAAGGAGATTTCCTTTTCTTTGTTGGGGGGAAGTTGCAAAGGGTAGTAGTTGTATATGAGAGGAGGGAGAGATAAGTGGATTTGAAATTCACAGTGAACCAATAAAAACTTTGAAAACGATTATATATTAAATAATTATTGCTCTCGGACATACTTAACACAAAATTTTACAATTTATTTAGGAATAAATAAAAAATAGTACTGAAGGCAAATTTGTACAATGAAATGGAAATGCTACATAGAGGAAACTTTCAAGCTTGTTTGTGTTTTAGAAAAGAAGAAATACTACAGTTATATAAATACAACAGAGAATTGGGAGCAGGAGGAGTGTGTCACTAAGAACCACCAGAAAATGAATCTGACAAACAAAATACTGAGACAGTCTAACTCATGACATCATGAATTAATATAAGTGAAGAACACAAATATCAAAACAAATCTAACCTGTTGCTTTAGCAGTGTGAGCCCTGGTGACTCTTCCAAGTGTCCATGCAGGAATCCAAGGTATGGCATTGTTGGCATTTTAAGAGAGAAACAGAGAGGAAGCTGGGAAAATTCCAGTTTTCCATCTCCTGGCTAGCTCCTGAAATGTGATAGAATTTAAGATTTGCACATTCACATACATATCTACTTGAATCACCCCCTTGTGATTCGCACATGCACAAAGATACACTTTTAAATAAATATATTAGTTCTCTAATGTATAATTATGTATAAGCTTTTATATTTACTTATGCACATTAGTACCCTATATATATCACTTAAACAAATTAAAATAAATTTAACTGGATTCCAGATCATGAGGCTAGCAATCTTACAATAAGTTGCAAATTAATGTTATGATCTAGAACAAGTATAAAACTTCTAAAATTGAGGATTCTTCATTTTATTTATTTAACCATTCTACTCCTCAGACCTCTTGTAGAATAAACACGAGGTTCTGTATAAGAAGTAGAGATTCTAGATGAAGTATGAAGATACCACTAAATAGAATTTTAAAAATAAACAGTGTTTTTAAAGTAAGTGTACTTATGCAATATGCTATCTATTAGCATTACTTCATATTCACTGCTAAAAGTGACAAGAGTTGGTAGCAAGGTAATGCTATTCTATAATGTGATGGTTAGTCTATAATACAGATTCCATTTCCTTGAAATATTATGAAATTAATTACAGATGTTTTCATAGCCCAAACCACCAAAGTGTTGTAAAATAGTAACAGGCTGAGATATGACTTAGTTACAAGACATTATACATGCCCTATGGGCCTATGTGAATGATATGCACAGAAAAGGCCTTAAGGTTTCAGTGGTACACACAGAGTGCCTTTCATTCAAGAGGCGAAGACGGGAAGATTCCAACATTAAAGCCAAAGGGGTCTACGCAACGGGTTCTGGACCACCCAGGTAATTACTTCCTAGGCTGGAGTGGTGACGGAGGTAAACTGTTTATGACAGTCACATAAAGGATACTGAAACAATTACGGAGAGAAAATGAATTGAATATTTCAGTTAAGAAAAGCACAGATTAGCTAAGCAACAAGTTAAAGGAAGTATGATTGCTAAAGAGAGCCAGGGCTGTGTGAATTTATACCAAGAGATAATGCTTGAAACAGGGCATTACTCCGCCCAAGTGTAATTGATCACCGAAGAACAAAGGTATCATAGAACAAACTCCCTCCCAACGTGTTCTCATTTGTATCTCATTTGCAGTTCGGGGTGAAGAATTCTAAACTATGACCTTGGAAGACTGTCAGAGAGAGTTCAGTCTACTAACATACCGTGTATGGTTTTTTTCTCTAACATATTTTTTTGTGGCTATAAAATGTTAGAAAAGACAGAGGCCTGGAGAAAATAAATTATCACCACTCAAAGTAAAATATCTAAGTAAGAGAAGATTTATACAGTGGGTCAACTGTAGAAAAGCAAGATAAATGCAAATTATTTATTGATAAACTGTCTTGATCCTACGCCAATGCTGTAAATCAACAGGGGAGGAAAGCCTCCAGATTTTTAAGCAACAAATCTTATGGCTGAGAGAGCCTGCCCTTCCACACTGAGTTATGAGCATGGATAGGAGTTCCGCTTATCCCTTCCTTCATAGACAGTTTCCTGGCTGTCTATCAGTGAGTGCCAGAGTCTGTCTCTGATTTGGACTCAGCAATGGACAAGTCAAAGAGAAACACAGCCCTGGATTCTTTAAGCTGTTGTCCTCCAACAACAATATATATATGAAAAATTCTTGGGGCTGTGACATGGATCAGGAGATTTTATGGGCTGTGCCAGCCTGGTGACCATAGTTTGATCCTTCGATACCATGTAAAGGTGGAGTAAGAAAACCAGCTCCACCAAGTTGCCCCTTGACCTCCATGAGTGTTACAGCATGCTTATCCACATACACTATGCATGTGCGCACATAATAATAACGAGTCTGGTTTAATCTTAAAAAAAGAATGATTCTTAACATCCTCCCAACCCACCAGGATGATATGTTCCCACAATGGAAACACCCACTTCCAAACCTTAGGATATTATTGATACTTAAGTTGAAAAATGTGAGGAAAGAGCCAGATTTCAGAGCAGTTAAGTAGAATGATCTTTTCAGTCCAAACCAGTATTAAGTTGGATGTGTTTTAGCACCTGGGAATCTCAAGAGAAGGAACAGTCTCATAGAAGACTACACCATCAGAACAAATACTTCACAGTTTACTTCTCACTCTATTTGAAGTAAAACCTGACTTGAAAGGCTATTGTCACGTGCAAAGTGTGATATTTACTGCATATCAATAGCCACGAAATACAAAAAGGAAAAAAAAAAACAACTGCCAAAAAAAACCCCATAGTCTTTGAATTGTTTTGTTTATGTGAGTTTTCTTTCTAAGTACTTTTCAACCAAAACCTCATATCGCTGCTAGTCGAAGTGTTGTATACGTAAATATGCTTATTAAATGAAAGAGTTATAAAAAGAAGCAGTTACTCTTTAAAGCTTTCTAGTTATAACTAAACCTCTCTTAGGATGAGGTATGGCTCCCCTCCCTCCCCCTGCCAGCTGTGAGATTATATTTAAGAGATATCTCCTAGAGGCTTGTGGCATGAGAAATCTCCTGTTTATTGTTTATTTATGGGATCTTGGCAAATTCTCATGGAGCCACTTTAGTGCCAACTTAAAATCATTGAACCAATTACATAATTCACTAGCACAAGCAGGAAGCTACGCTTTATGAATTGGGTTTTTGTGACATGCAGTATATATATTTTTAATGTCTACAGCACTTCACTGGTTTCATAAGCAACACCAAGACCTCCTATGACCTAAAAAGAACCACTGCAGGTATAATCTACCAATCTCTGATCCCACTTAAGAGTAAATACCTGGACCCTACTGAGATTATTAGTGTAAAATGTCCAACAAGCTAGATCTTCAACACTTCAAACCAAGCTTCCCCTTCTTGCTTCCTCCAGAATGTGGGTGACTTCGAGTTAGAAGCATCCTTTGTCCTTCCTGGGAACAGGGAGTTCACTGCTGAGCCAGAATGCTGTGTTCAACTCTTACAGTTTTTCCTCCTTCATTTATTTATTTATTTATTTATTTATTTATTTATTTATTTATTTATTTATTTATTTATTTATTTATTTATCTATCTATCTATCTATCTATCTATCTATCTATCTATC